AAAAATCCACGCTCAAATTCATATGGAATCTCAAGGAATTCCAGTTAGCCAAAACAATGTTGAAAGAAAACAAAGCTGAATATCGTACATTTTCTGATTTCAAAACTTGCTCCTGGGCCAGCCCCATAGCACAGTAGGTAAGTCCTGTACATAGGGAACCAGATCCCACATGGCCAACTACAGTTCAAATCCCGTGCCAGAAGCTTTGAAAAACAAGTTAAGTATGTGTTGCACATGCCCAGAGTCATGATGGCATGGAGAGAGGGAGGAGAAAGGATTATAGCATAGCCAGCCCCCATCAGGGGTTGCTCTCTCTACCCTTTTCTCTCTCTCTCTTGTACACATGCCCTGTGGCAATTAAAATGATCTTTCTGGGGTAGCAGTCGGCATGGACGTTAAGGCACTGGATTCACCTATGGCTGACCACAGTTTGAGTCCCAGACCCAGTGGCTTGAAAACCATGCTGAGCATGTGTGAGAAAAGACTGTGGTGTAGCCATCCTCCCTGGCAGGGAGTGGTGATTTCTCACTTTCCCTCTCACTCTCTCTGTCCGGTGAGTGCACATTCCCCATGGCAAAAACCTGGAAAAATAAACAAGTAAACAAATGTTGCTATGAAACTAAAATAATAACAGAGAACACTTTAAAAGCAGTGTATTACTAGATGAAAAGACAAATATATGAACAAAAGGAGTAGACTAGAGAGTCCAGAAATATCTTCGCATAGATAGCAAATGATTTTCTCAAGGTATTAGGAAATACAAACGGGATTACAAAAACTGGATATCCAGATGCAAAAGAATGAAGTTGGACCCTTACCTAACACCATATATAGTTCATTTGGAATGGATGGAAGACTTGCAAGTGAGAATGAAAGCTATAACTGCTGGAAGAAAGCACAGGGGACGAGATTCATGACACGAGGGTTGATAGTGAGCACGATACAAAAGACAGGGCCAATGAAAGGAAAAACAGGCAAAGTATATTTCATCAAAATTAAAAGCTTTCACGTATCAAAAGATACTGTCAGTAATGTAAAAAGACAATCCATTAGGTTGAGAGTTTATATTTGCTAATCACATATCTAATTAAGGGCTAATATGTAAAATGCATAAAGAGATCCTGCTACTCAGCACCATAAAAACACCTACTCCAGAAGCAGACAGTGGTGCAGTGGGAAACACAGCACTGTGCATGAGCCGTCCCACACGGAAACACTCCTGTCCGAGCCAGACGGCCCTGGGTGTGCGGGCTGGCACTTGCCCCTCGCGCAGAACTGGCGGAAGGCGGTGGTGTGCTGTGGCACTGGGCCCCTAGCGGGAGCGCTCTCTCTTTCTCTTTCTGTGTCTCTCTCTGTTTATCTCTCTCACTCATGGAAAGTATAAATAAATAAGTTTTATAAAAATTCAAAAATAGATAAAGGATATGAATAGGTATCCTCCAGAAAGACACAGGAAAGGCCAATGAGCACAGACAGTGATGTTCAGTATTGCTGATGGGAAGCCAATGAAAACCACTACACTCATTTAGGTAGCTCTTATCAAACGCACAGAACAAGGCGGGTTAGGCATCAGTCTGGAGAAATTGGAACCCTGTGCGTTGCCGTTGGAATACAACACGGCGCGGCTGCTATGGAAGATAGGATAGTGGTGACCCAAAGCATTACACAAAGAATTATGATTTCATCCAGAGATTCACTTCTGCAAATACACAGGAGAAAAGCTCTTCTTACACACTCATGTTCATGGCAGCATTTTTTATAAAAGCCAAATGATGTAAAGCAAATGTCCACTGTTGGGTGGAGGAATGAACTAAAGGTGGTATATCCATACAATATTATGTGGTCTCCTAAAGGAGTAAAATTCTGGCACATGCTTCAATATAGATGAACCTTAGAGACGTTATGGTCAGTGAAATCAGTCCAACACAAAAGAGGCAATACTGCATGATCCCACCTATCTGAGTTACCCAGAATAATCAATTCCGAGAGATAGAAAGTAGAACAGTGGTTACCAAGGAGTGAGGGGAGGCAGGGTTAGTAGGCACAGAGTTTTAGTATGAAATAGTAAAAGTTCTGAAAATGGATGTGGAGGTGGTTATACAATAATATGAATGTACGCAATGTCACTAAACTGTACACTTAAAAATGGTGAAGATGGGGACCAGCAGGTGGTGTAGTGGTCGAGGCACTGGACTCCCACGTGGCCAATCACAGTTTGAGTCTCGGACCTGAAACGCACGCCAGCCACTTATGCATGTGTGCCCAAAATTCCTAAGGGGAGAACGGAGGAGAAGGGATTTCAGTGTGGTCATCCAACCTGGGGGGGTGAGTTCTCACTTTCAGTCCTTTCATCTCTCTCTGTCTCTCTCGCTAGTATATGTGCAAAAATATCCCCCCCCCCAAAAAATTGCTAAAATGGTAAAGTTTGTGTTATGTGTATTTTACCAAAGAAGAAAAACTCAATTAATTGGCCACCTAAATGTGGGTCTATTTCTAGACGATCAATAATGTTCACTGATTCATAGGCCTATATTTACGACAGCATCATAAATCTTAAAGTCAGTCCTAACAGCAAGAAGTATAAACGCTCCACCATTATTCTCCTCTTTCAAGATCATGTTGGCTTTTATCAGTCCTTTGCATTCCCATGTAAATTTTAGAATCAACTTGTAGATCTAGTCAACACTATTTTTAGGCTTTGACTAGCTTGTATAGTTGGGAAAACATGTAAACATACCCATGTTTAGTCTTCAGTTCATGATCATGTTATGTTTCTCCATTTACTTATTTACTTCTTTTCACTTCCTTCATCACAATTTTAATGATTTTTAGGCTGGGACCTTATATATCACTTGTTAAATGCATCCCTAAGTGTACCATCAACTTTTTGATGTATTGGAAATTGCTTTCTTACTGCAGTCACCTTTTGTGCGTTGCTGTTTCAGAACTATTAGGCTGCTACATTTTTGCATAGAAACATGTAGAAAAATATGCCTTTCCAATGACCTAAGATGATTAACGTAATTAACTTTGGATAGTGTCCTTATTCCCACCAGCCTTGCTAAACTTGAAAGTTATTCTACTTTTTGTATATTTCCTAAGATTTTCTCTGTATGTAATGACAGCATGAGGACAAAAAACCAAAACAAACCAAAACAAACAAAAAAAAAGAACAGGCAGTTGTATGCCTTCCTTTCTAATGGCTGTGATTGCCAAGCTGTTGATAGCCACGTCCCGAGTGGCCATACGAGCTAGAACGTCTAGAACAATGTCAGGTAGAACTGAGGCAGATAACGCTCTTCAGCGTCCCTCAGACTTCGGAATGCTTGAAGCCAGCCCTGGTGGGACAGTCTCTTGACATGTTGACTCTCACGTAAACACTATCATAGTTTGCTGACAGTGCTTCTTTTTCTTTTCTTTTTTTTTAATTACATCTTTTTTTTTAAATTTTAACCATTTTAAAAAATCATTAGTTTACCAGGCCAGTCCATCTATAATATAACTAGAACAACTAACTTCTTCACACAGAGAAAGTACTTCTTATAAATAGGTGTTAAACTTTGCCATGCCTTTCTGCATTGGGCGGCATTGCCCTAGGATAGTTCTCTTTCATTCCGGGCTCTTCCCAGCAGGCTGAGCTTTATTTATAGGCACAATTATCTACAAAAGAGAGATTAGGTCTCCATGTACCAGCTATTTTGAATACAAAATTTAAAATCGATAACATCATTTCAGTGATGATATTCTGGACTTTTTCTCTTGTAATATTTTACGGATCGAAGGTGTGTGCTATTTATTTATCCCAGAGAGTTATATGACTCTTACCATTTCACTAGAAAAAAAAAAAGAAAAAGACCAATCACTATTCTATTATTAACCACAGGGAAGAAAGGGCAACCCAGTGGGAACAGTTTAATCAGCCTTGACATCTAGATCCATGATTCAGGATCATTTAAATGGTCTGTGACAAAAGAATAGTTAACAGTCTGCAAAACGTCCATTATCTTTACTTAGCAAAGGCCTATTGATCTAGGACCTTGTGTGATTCCCAGAGGGTGTTAGTAAGAAGTGATGTGAAAACTCTGGCTCAGCATTATTCACCACCAACCAAACACTCCAAGGTAAGTCTGTGAATAAGGTACAAATTAAATCTTCATGCTAAGTAGCTGCAGATGCCTGGGGAACCCAGGGAGCAGACTGTTTGATACTTCCCATAATTTTCTTCTGAGATCACATATGGCAACACCGTGAGGATGATGTCTTCAATGATATTTTACCAGGAATGATAAACTCGAGAACTTGTCTGTTTTATGATAAAATCTTTTCATTGAATAAAATCTAATCTCACCTATGGATGTCTTCCACAGCTGTGCTGCAGTGTTAGTGAGAACACCAATCAATTTTGCCTGGTAATTTATGGGTCTTTCTGAGACCAGATTAGCAACAGCATAAGATGGCAGGAGGAAAGAGCATGGGGGAGAAGAACTTGCTACAAGATTTGGGTATAATTCCATCTAGGGGGTCCACAGGATCATTCAGGCATAATCCCAGAGGAAAAGCATTTGCAGCTCAGTGACTGTGGCCCAAAGCCTCCTGCTTGGCAGACACTGAGGAATGGCTACACCTGAGAGACGCTGTCCTGGCCCCACCGGGTTCTACTCCCAATAGTTCAAGATGATCAAAACGAAAGCAGGACAGGGGACCCCGCCATGCACCATGTATCGGTCATCTGTGTGAAAAGGTCCCTCCCCTCACATCATGACAGCTACAGGCTGAATGGGACACTGAGCCAGAGATGGCCCTCCATCTGTGCTTATGGGCCCCCGTATGGGACTTACAGCGACATGGCTTACGCAAGGAGGGGAATGAAAATCACAGCAAGAGCACGGACTAGTTTCTGAAGGTAAAAGAAAAGCTATACTAAAAATCCCCTATGAACAAATGTTTTATTAACAGAAGACAAAGAACGAAAAACTTCAACAGAAGAAAGGGCTACTTACACCAGAATAGAAAGGCTCACCAGACACACACAGCACATCCTGCTCCTGGATCATCAGGATATCCTTGGCTAGGTGCAGCCGGACTTTGAAAGGCTCCTGATAACCATCCTGCAGCAAACAAACCCCCGTCTTTGTCTTCGAACAAACAAAACAAACAAAAAAACAGAGAAGAAAATTATACTTAGTTTACAGGTTATCATTTTATGGGCAATTTACAGTAAAACATGATGAATAACATTGAGAACTGATGAAAATACTCTGATGAGTCCAAAATTTAATACTTGCTATTCATGGGGTCTTCAAATAGCTCATGAAAAATGCATATTATGAAAAAACTAGGCATGAGTTATAACATTTTTGCACCAAAATAAACTCATGCTTTAACTTCCATTTTTCTGCAACTTTTTGAAGTTCCCTTGCAGGTGCAGAATAAGCATTTCTAGTAAAGTGGGATCTCTGAGTAGGAGATGCTATGTCAGAAAATCCGCACCGAGATTTGGAGGGTGACAATTGGGGCTTATGTAATGTATTTAAAAAATAATGGCAGTTTTGGGACCAGCAGTTAGCATAATGGCTATGCTGTTGGACTCCCATGTAGTTGACCGTGGTTTGAGTCCCGGACCTGGTGACTTAAAACTCATGCCAGGCACGTGTGCGTGTGTGCACAAGATCCCAAGAGGAGACTGGAGGAGAAGGGTTTGCGGTGTGGCCATCTCCCCTGGGGGGTAATTTCTCACTTTCTATCTCTCTGTCTCTCTCTTTCTGGTGAGTGCACGCGCTCTATAGCAAAAAATAAATAAATAAATAAATAAAACCTCTCCCCAAAAAAATAATGTCAGTTTTGTCCATACTTACAATCTAGATATAAACAACCAATAGCTTCATTGATACACAATTGGCATTCCATGTGATTCAATCCTCTAAAGCGATTTGTGTTTTTCTTATTCAGTGCAGTGCAGCCCTCAGTACAGTCGGTTTTAGAACATTTCCACCACTCCAGAATAAAAACACATCCCCATCTTCCCTTCCCACCACCCCCGGCCCAGCCTGCTCTAACCTCCACTATTTCATCGTTCGTAGTCGCACGCACACACACATGCCTGTGCACACATGTGCATGAGAAACCCATACGCATACTTTGTTCCTATAAAGGAATGGGGGTGAAGAGGTGAAGGGAGCTACTGGAGTTCACATACTTAAAATAGTCCCTAGTTTAGGAAGTTTTGATTTTTAATTCAAAGATTAACTTCATGCGTATTTAGGAATTGTGGAATTAGACGGGGATGATTTCTGAACTCGGACTACAGAACTTCAGACCAGCACCTTGTCGGCAACGAGGACGTCTGTGAGTCTCCTCACTGAAGCACACGGGTGTTACAAGGTCCATCCAGATAAACAGAAATCCCCTCCCGGCAAGCGCGGTTAGCATTTCCCATCTGCCACCGGAGCCAAGGCGATTCCTTGAAGACAGACGTGACCGCTGCCTCTTACCTGACCAGCACATCAGCGGGAACAATGGTGCTTCAGAAACGCCTTCGCTTAATAATTACTGAGCCATTCTCAATTTAATGGACAAATACCTAGGGACGCATGTTTACCCTTACTATTCAAGGAGTGCAATACTCCAGGCAAATCACGTGAGGCTTTCCTTTGGAATATCCATTTCCATGGGGATCGCTAGGAGTGTGTCTCTGGAAGACTGCTCCGTGATGTTCACAGGGCTAGTTCAGGTGCTGCGGCCTCCAGAACTCACTCCTTTTGTAACTGCTTCACCCCTGCGCTGGACACACTGTCTTGCTCTCTACCATGGACAGTCTTTCATTAGTCTGTAATTATTCTGCAAGACTTGTGAGGTCTTTTCAAGAAAAACCAAAGCTGTCCAGGAGCAAGGACGGCATTCTCTGCATCCACACCAGCAGCGTACAGCAGGCACTCCCTAAATCACGCCGACTCTTCTCTCCTGGAGCATAATTCAAGTGGACGTGTCCAGAGGACAAAAATATTTCAGCACAAGCAAATGGTCCTTTCCTTAATACGGGACATCATTCTTCTCTGGTTTCACATGGAGAAGTCTCTCATGCTTACAACGTTGTCTTGGCTGGGGTCAATGAGAGACTCTCTGAGGGGCCTGCGGGAGGGCTATCGAATAACACATTGAAGCCAAGCAATTGAGCCGAGCATCGCGCACCTTTGCGGACCGCGTGGACAGTACATTCCAGGCCAATTTTTCCACAGAAATGTGGAGGAAGAGCTGATCATCATAAATAATGCTGTGTTCCAACTTCAGGGTGAGAGAGGGGCCTTTTCTGGGAAACCCAGCACACATTATGTTTAGACATGTAAAAGATGACACAGGGAGCATCTGAGGGACTCGGACCTCACGGCCACCAGGGTTTTCTCATCGCATTTCTGACACGGCCAAGCTAGCCTTCACACAAGGACTGAAATGTCCCCTCGTCGTCAGACAGCTGTGGGAAAGGCGGAAGGCAGACTTGCGCTCACTGTCGGGTCCTGAGCACTACAGAAACAAAGGCTGAAGCTGCATTGTCTCCGAGGACACCCCGTGCACCGCTTAGCTGCTCGGGGAAGGAGAACAGGCGGACGGAGAACAAGGACAGCCCAGTGAAGGCGATTTCCCGGGGACTAGAGATGTCACAGGGCTTCTCCCACGAAATCCAGACTGGCCCACGAGAAGTGCATTCAAACCTACGGTCATTCATTGTGCAAACGTGGAGCTACATTAGCCAAGAATCAGGCATGCATTAGGTAACAGCCCTAACCCTCAAGTTCTCCTACTTATTGAAAAATACGTCCACCGGTAAGAGTCAGTGTGATATCTGAAATGAGACGACAGGGAGAGGGAATTGCGTCCTGCGAAGGAAGGGGTGCTCAAGGAGGGGCTGAAGGTCGAGAATACCTGCCCTGTGTCCTGAGACAGTGAACTGGAGGAAAAATACTTAGAGGAGGGCCATTGTGATCAAGGAGGAGTGAGTGAAGGCTCAGAACCGTGCTGGCAGCAGGAAGGCAGGACAGACTGGAAGGGCAGCCCTGCTGCAGAGCCTGGAGACCCCAGCCCAGGGAGCCGGGTCGGGAGAGACCAGGTGCCGTGGTCTCAGCTGCACATCCCAGGAGCTGACGGTGATGGAGAAGCTCTGGAGAAATGCGCGGTGAAATCATCTCTCCACATGGGCCCTTCCTTTTTCTTCTTTTTGAATTTTAAAAAAATTATGTATTTACATTCATTCACTGTACATCATTACAGCATACAAAATGAGATTTTCCACCCAGAGTACAGTGTGTATCGGCTCAGTCAAGCACATCCACATACGTGTTATCGTCAATCATTTTCCATTTCTTGTTTCCTGTATGTTTTGCTTTTTTCCCCTCACCCTTGATTCCAGTCCTTTCTAAGTGTAGTTCTATAGCACGACCAGGACGAGAGGGTGGAGAGAGGTAGCCGGGGAGAGCGAGCTGGTCCTGGCGGCTGGAAGAGGGACACCCTCTGGCGCCGTCCTGGGAAGAGCAGGCTGCTGCGATGGGACCCTCTCAGATGTGGCGACATCATTCCTACTGAGGCCGTGTGCAGTGGGTCCAAGAAGCTTAATGAACTTTACCCCGTGTTCGGTGAGTCGCCGTGTTGCCCACAGCAGTCCCTGAGGCTGGGGACATATGGGACTGCAGACTTACTAGGCTCACGGTGCTGGTGGCTAGAAAGGCTGAAGGCTGGGGGCTGCACATCCACCCTCCAGAGCCACATCACAACGTGGCCGACCAAAGCACAGAGGGGCTGGCATGTGCAGAGAGGGAAGGGAGCCCGCCTCCTCAGAGCCCCAGCAGGTGGGACGGTGTGCCTGGTAGACCCTACCTCTTAAAGGGCTACCACCTCCCCAAGTGATTTTCCTGGAACCTCTGGGGGAAGCCACCGTCTGGACACTAGCAGTACCCTAGCTACCGCTGTAACCGTTCTCAGGCACCCAGGCCGCTGGGCTCCTAATCTGCTCTCTGACTTGGCTCACGCTCACAGAGATGACGTAGGGGTGCCTCCCCGTGTTGTGCAGTGGCATGGCCATTGTCACGTTCCCCTGAGAAACAGTACCTGAGTCCCTGAGGCGTCCCTAAAATACGCCAGTGCAGTGGATCCTTGGACAGAAGGTCCAGGTCCACCCACACACAGCTTATGTTCAACACCGAAAGGCATTTTCTCTTCATGATTTTCTTAATAACATTTTCTTTCCACTAGTATATTGTAAGGCTACAGTACATGGGGGGGGGTCTTCAAAAGTGAATGGAAAAACTTATTGTGTAATAAGTTTGTGTAGATTTCAAGATTAGTTTGCACCCAAATCAACTTGCATTTTAAGTCCGTTTTCCCATAAGCTTTTTGAAGTTCCTTCATAAGATGTATGACACATCAGACACATACTAACCAACTCTTTATGTTCTCAGTAAGGCTTCTCATCGACAGTATACCGTTCAGCAGTTACTGTCGGGGGTCACGAGCTGCACGAGGATTTCCAACTGCAGAGGCATGGGCGTCCCTGCCCCTTGTGCAGAGGCAACTGTAATTTGGAAAAGTGCGGCATCGTCTGAACCCAGCTTCCTCTACATAACAAAGCAGTGACTGTGCCATAGAGAGGAGCCCAAACAGCCCCAGCTTTATAGGGGTGCTCTTCCCAGAGCTGTGCTACCTGGGCTGCAGGACCCCCTGACGTGCTGTTGCTCTCGTGCCCCATGGAGGCACAAGTGAGACACAAGCGTGCATGCGGCTGGTGCCGGGGAGCCCACACAGTCCTGGCCCCAAAGAGCCCACAAACCAGTGAAGCCAAATGGTTCAAAAATTTTAAATTGCAAGACCAGCAAATGGCAAAATGGTTAAGTCACTGGACTCCCACGTAGTCAACTGTGGTTTGAGTCCCGGGCCCGGTGGCTTAAACTCACGCTGGGCGCGTGTGCATGCGTGCCCAAGATCCCAAGAGGAGAATGGAGGAGAAGGGATTGCAGCATGGCCATCCCCCCTGGGGGGTGATTTCTCGCTTTCTGTCTCTCTGTCTCTCTCTGTCTTTCTGGCGAGCACATGTGCCCTATAGCAAAAATCTCTCCTAAAAAAAAAATTAAATCACTTAGATAATTATAAG